TCATTGACAGTCTGGGTATTAGTACTATTTCCTCTGATTATATCTTAGGATATCTTTAAGTTCTAGTGGCTAATACTTCTTGTAAAGGGCAAACATTATTTTTGTGTTATACCTGGCCGCACACAAAGAACAATAGGTGTCACCTCATATTTGACCTATTGTGAAATTTTATAGTGCCTTAGGAGGCTATTAAATTGAATTCCATTTAACATCTGTTCTCTATTTTTTTTAAAATTTTATCTAAAAATCTGTCGATAAGGTTAATCCTGCCCAGGTTGACAGTGTCCTGGACTTCTCTTGATATTTTTTTTTATTATTTTGATTACTATATCTTTTCTTTTCACTTATTTTTCTACTTTTCTATTTAAGTTATTATTTTAACTATCTTATTCTTTATTTATTCTTTATTTTATTTTTATACTATTAGTTATATTTATATATATTTTATAAAAATATTTTCTTTATTTACAAACTATATGCAACCTTTCTCACAACATTATTTTAATTTTATCTAGAAATATCTAAACCGTATTCCAACTGACAAGGAATATACTAACCTACTAGAAAAACTCAAATCTGCCATTGCTTAGTTACAATTTGGTTCTCCTCTAACTTTGCAACAAACTGATTTATTGTTTGCCTATTCAAAAATTTGTAGATTCTGTTGAGAAAATAAACATTCTAAGCCTCTCTCTGATGACCTTTAGGATAATAGTTATATAATTGAATCAGGATTTAATACTCCTACAACTCAATCTATCTATTATTTTGAACTACCTAATATTGATAACCCTCAAGGTATACCCTACCAATTACAACCTAAAATTCAAAAACAACAACCTCGAACCTATACTCCATCTTAGTGTGCTAACTTAAAACTATATAAACAAGAAGTAGATAATAATATTATTCCTCTGATAGTATCAAGGAATTATTTAGATACAGAAAACTTCACAGGTTTTTAACCTACTTTTATTAAATTTGGATGAACTTCCAAGAATACTAGTGTTTAATTGAAGCACACGAATTTTTACATGAATCCTGTATCTATATTTCTCAAGAAAAATATAAAGAAAGACCTGACGAAAGAGGTCCAGCTTGCCATCCTGCAGCCAAGATTTATCTGAATCTTTTATAAAATTTTGGGATTGGTATAGACCAAAATACAATGCCTCTTATTCTATTACTTATAATATTGTTGAATATTTTCAAGGTGCCCTATATACTCTTAATGAATATATAAGAGATACTTATATCAGATTAATTTCAACATCTGTACAATATTACAATCATACACCAAATAAGGAATTTAGCCAAATTTATACTGAACTTTTGGCAAAATTTGAAACTACTCTTAATTTTACAGTAAATACACCTGAAATACAATCTGAAGAAAATTCTGAATCAGGATCTGAATCAAGAAATAATACTTTAGTCCCAACATCTCCAACATCATCTGAACAAAGAGAAAATCAATTTAAAAAGCATTAACAAAATATAGAACAAAGTATCAGAAATATAAATTCAATTATCTGACAAATACCTATTACAATGAGTTAACAACGACTAATACCCTCTAGCAGCTGTGCAGTAAACAATAACTCTCAAAATCGATGAGATAATGACTTTATAACTACTCTAAACATCGATGAAAATGCTTCTGTTAATGAAACAAGGGAAATTCGCATACCAAATTTTGGACATGAAAGAAACAATAGAACAAGTGATGATAGTAATAATGATGATAATCCAAGTTCACAACAATTAATTCAACAATTCTTGAAAGAATTACCTACTACATTAAATACAACTTTCTCTAATAATCCTAACCGACCATGAGAACAAAAGATTGTTAAAATACCCATATTTAAAGGTGGAGATGATGACTCTATTATTTGGCTTGAAGCCTTTAAAAGAGCTTGTCAAGCCAATAAAATTAATAATATCAGAAAGTTAGTCTTAGTACCCAACTTTTTGAAAGGTACTGCTCTTACTTGGTACAATCAAAATGGATTCCTTTATTAAAATAATGAGGACAACCAAGATACATCATTTAAGTTCAAATTCGAAGCACAATTCAGAAATCCATATAGAATAAATCAATAGTTTTATTCTTTACAGTCGAGAAAACAAAAGCTTGGTGAAACAGTTGAAGAATATAATGCAGCATTTGAGAAATTATGAAAGAAAGTTAATTCTACAAATACTTATCCAAATATTGATAAAATAAGACAATTTATTGATGGCTTTTAACAGAAATTTCATATTCTAGTGGAGTCAGCTATGCCAACTACCTTGGATGAAGCTATTAACAAAGCTAAAGGTTTCGAAAATGCCTTTTCAAAAGGTGTAACATTATCTGCATACTTCTTACTACTATCTAACCTTCAACCTCAGTATCTCAACCAATATAATGCTACTCCACAACCTTCTGTTGAAAATATAGTAAATGAAAAACT